TAATAAAATACTTTTTATTCATCCACTTAAGTTCAAATACATTTTTTAAACTTGTAATGGATGACACTTCATGTTAATACATATTTTCCAAATCATAATTCATTAATTAAATGTAATTAATGAATAAATAGTAACAAATAAAAGTAAGAGTCCAACACCATATATAAAAAGGAAAATCGCTCGTTGTGTCCCTGTAGAGCAATGGATAGCGCGTTGGACTTTTAATTCAAGGGGTTCAATTCCTACCAGGGATGGCCTAATTTCTGAGAATGTGATTTTTGAATGAATAAATAGTAACAAACAAAAATGATAGTCCAACATCATATATAGAAAGGAAAATAAAAAATTGCAAGGAAAATCGCTTTCTCTGTTTTGCCTCTTAATTTTGTGATTCTGTCTTATGTATATTTATATTAATTGTAACTATTTAATAAAAAGTAATTAAAATAAAATTTTCTTTGTTTACCAAAGCAGGAATTGACTTAATTATATATATATATATATATATATATATATACATATTTAAACATATATTACAATTAAATTCAAATTTTATATAAAACATATTATCTCTACTTCTGTTATATGCCGGTAAGTATACTATTTAAAACTTTTTATTTGGTTTTTCTTTTAAAAACTAAACGCCGATTTATATGCATGTGTGTGTGTGTGAATCAATTATGTACAACTACCAGTAACATTAAAATGTTCCTATAAAAAAATTTAAACATTAAAACTACCTTACAAAAAATAAAAAAATAAAAATACTTTTTAGTTTCTTTATTATAGAAAACAAACTATGACGTAAATATTGGTTTATAATATGTTGGTATGATTATAATAAAAAAGAAAAATGGACTATTCCAAAATATCAATATTTTTTATTAAGTTAGTACTTCGATTTTTTGTAGGTGAAAATATCACAGAGTAATTAAATACAGCTACGTAAAAAAAAGGGAATTGCTTTTCTCTTCTTGAATATTTCAAATATTTCTGACCTATATTTAATGTCAACTAATTTTTTAAACCTTAAATA